CAAGTCCAAAGGAAAGCTCTCTTCGCAAAATAAGGAGATTGTCCCCACCAAGTTTCGAATGGAGTTCGGGTGAAGCTGGCCGACCGTTACGCCGAAGTGGTTCAAGACTTCGACAAGGAGGGGATGGAAAGGCAATCGCAGCCCCGCGGTGAGCTGCTCCCGGAATATCACAATCTCATCAGGACGGTGTTCCCAAGGTATGAAATAACCGTACTCCCCCGGCAAGTTATAGTAGGTAATGAGGGATTGGAGCCCCTCGGGCGTCATGGTCGAAGGACCAAACTTGTCTAACATCCGACCCCGACAAGAGGTGGACGCCAAACTACCCGAAGCGCCTCGGCCTACGAGTTCGAACTCTTCCTCGAGCTCTACCTCCGGCTCGCTAGGGCTATCAGGGGATGCAACTCGGTTCGTAGAACCTGCATCAGACCCGCTGGAAGGACTATCTGAGCTATCCAAGCTAGACATCGGGGAGTGAGATGGGATCCTGGAAAGTACTCACCCGGAAAAAGGCTGTAGACCACAAGAGCTCGGACGAATAGAAGACCTTGAACGCGAACTGAAAAAACTTGGACGTGAACTGGATGCGAGCTGAAACTCGGACGCGAGCTCGAGAGAAATACAGAAGTGATAGCAACTGGGGTCCCACCCCGCTATTTATACTCATAGTGACCGAAAGGCGACGGCTTAGATCAAAGCCAATCTGATGGCCCACAGCCGCACTAACCACACATCCCCTGAGACCGAGGCGTGATTGGCACACGTCTTTCTGAAACTGACAGAGCGCCGACGCATGTCTTTTTGAAACTGACGGAACGCCAGCGCACGTCTCCTCAATAAAAGCGGCAGCGGCATGTTTTTTCAAATTTGAAAAGACGCCTGGTATAGCACCTCCCAAGTGGCACGCTTTTTTGAAATTTCGAAATAAAGCGCGCACCGCCACATCTATCAGCGTTTAGGCAGGCTGGCAGGCTTCCTGCCTTTTGGACGCTCGAAGAAACCCAAGGAACCCTGACAACGCACCTCGCATCGTCAGAACCAAGATTCAAAGTACAGGGCAAATCTACCTAACACCTTGCGAACTCCCTGCGCTAGGGCAAGACCCTTAGTGCGAGGAGTGGGGGGTAATTGATGAAGGAAGATTTGGCCCGACCTCGCAATCACGCCACATGGCAAAAAACAAGTAGCTCGGCACTTAAAGCAGCGTACCCAGGGTGCAAACACCAAAWGGAAGAAACCAGCAGTCCGAACTCCCCTCGAGGAGACCGAACTCCCTTCGAGGAGCCCGAACTCCCTACGAGGAGCCCGACCTCCCTACTAAGAGCTCGAACTCCCTACTAAGAGCTCGAACTCCCT